CGGCCTTACTTGGAATAGATGACCATATAGGCGGATGCTCAGGTCATCACATCGCTGGCGACGACAAAAATGCATCGCAACGGTCTTGTGGCCTGAAAAACGAAACCCGTCCATGTCACCCCATCTTTCAACGCTGTCGACAGCCAGCTGGAGACGTCGCTCCATCGCTTGTCCCCTCGCTGCACTGGTCCAAATAGTAAAATCGCCAAAAGAAAGGGCACGTCCGACCGGCTGGGGGAGCACATCACAAATATAATTTATCATAACTGCGAACAGAGCTACACTTAATACACCGCCCTGGGGCACGCCGTTTATTCGTTCGTACCTATCGGAGAGAACGTTGCCGACCCGAACACGGAAATATAATTTGGCTAAAAACCTTTGGAGAAAAGTACCCATATGGCCACGTATACCATATTTAAAAAGCTTTTGAAGAATACCATGGCGCCATGTGGTGTCCTAGGCGGCTTCAATGTCAAAGAACACTGTCCCCATATGGGCTTTTTCTTGAAAAACCTTACGAACCGTAGTGTCCAGAGTTAAAAGATGGTCCACCGTACTACGGTTTTTCCTAAACCCGCACTGCGAGGTGCTAAAAATATCGTTGTTCTCTAAAAACCAAGTGAGTAGCACGTGTACCATATTTTCCATGAGCTTGGACAGTGATGACAGTGAAATAGGTCGGTAATGAAGAGGGTCCATCCCACTCTTTCCCGGCTTTAGAATAGGCACCACAACAGCTTCCTGCCAGGCCGGAGGGAATTCACCACCTGACTGCACTCTGTTGAAGGCCGCCAGTAGTACACGACGTGCACACGGTGGTAGATGTCGGAGCATCTAATTGTGGATGTCATTATGACCTTCCGATACTCTACGAAGTTTTGCCATTGCCGACTCCAACTCCACCAGAGTGAAGGACTCATTGTACGCCTGTGGTTGCCTTGTGAAAAAGTCCACCACGATTTTTTTTTCGCATTGTGCTCTTTGCTGTAAAAACCGTGGGATTGTGTTTGCACCTTTGCTACGGTGGGATAATGCTCGGGCGATCTCGTTAGCCACATCCAACGGGTGAGTCACCACCTGGCCGTTAACATGTAGCACAGGAAGTGACACGGATGGAAAATGCCCAGAGATGCGTTTGATCCGAGCCCAAACCTGCGAAGTTGGCATGAATCGGTTGAGCGTGCTCACGTACACACGCCAGGATTCACGTTTCGCTTCTTTTGTCAAGCGACGGGCGAAAGCTCTCGCCTTCTTAAAAGCCACTAAATTCTCCAAGCTACTTCTGGCGTCAAAAGTTCGGAAAGCATGTTTGCGAGCGTGAATTGCGTCACGACACTCCTCTGTCCACCACGGCACAGGAGAACGACGGGGAAATCCAGAAGTGCGCGGGATGTAATCGCTAGCGCAATTTAGCAGTCGGTGAGTAAAATCCTCAATAGAGGGTGCTGCCCTATCACCTCCGGTTTGGCATAATGTCTCCAGTCGAGCCTCACACTCACTCCAGTCAGCCTTTTTTAAATTCCAAAGTCGTAGTCTTACACCCAACGTTCCTCTTATCTGGAATTGGAGTCACACTGGGAAATGATCGCTGCCCATTGGATCATCTGCCACAGACCACTCGAGGCTCTCCACCAGCTCGGGACTAGAAAGGCTTAGGTCAAGCGCGGAAGTCCGACCATACGGGAGTGTAAAATGAGTACGAGTCACTGTGTTTAAAATACACAGTGACGAGTCACGGATAAAATGTTCACAAGTCCTTCCGCGAGTGTTCGTGCTATCACAGCCCCACGCAGTGTGATGAGCGTTAGAGTCGCCTAAAAGAAGACATGGTGAAGGCAACTCATGCACTAAACGTCTCATCTCTTCCAATGAAAAAGCGACGCCAGGTGGAAGATATAAAGAACACACCGTGACGTAACGGTGATTTAAACGTAGGCGTGCGGCTACAGCCTGTACCGTAGACCGCAGGTTCAACCTCCTGGCTGGCATGCTATGGTGGACTGCAAGGAGGACACCGCCATGTGCAATACCGTCGGTTAACACATCGTTGCGAAACAGGGCGTAGCCCTTCAGCGTGCAGTGGTGACTAGAAGCCAGCTTGGTCTCTTGCAGCGCTACGGCTGCAGGACAGTGCTTGCTGACGACAGCCTGGAGGTCGAGGGCATTCTTCCTTTATTCATCTACAGTTCCACTGTAAGAAGGCTTGTAAAGGGGGCGTGTGAAAAAGGCGGTTGTAGGTCACATACTAAAACTGGACACGTCCTAAAAGAACTGGGCTGCGCCAGTTGCAGGGGCAGACGTTTCAGATTGAGCACCACGGTTCGATTCTGCAGGAACGTGCCCCACTCTGGGACGAATTCTGGGGCTGCCTCCGTCAGATGGAAACGGGGGACCTGCCGGGGCGCGCTTCACGCCAGCGTACCGAGTCCAGGGTGGCGGCGGGGGAGGGCCCGTCGGCGGGCCTCTACCGGGCGTCTGGGGGTCAGCGGGGGCCTCCACTGGCCTTCTCGGCGGTGGTGTACCACTGCGAGGGGTGGGCTCCTTGCTTGCACCGGACAAACGATTGGCCGCCTTAGCCCCCTCCAACTCGGCCAAGCGGGCCCGCTTGGGGTCGCGGGCGCGCCTGCCTGCCTCATGCCGTTCCATCGTTTCCACTGCCCGTCCACACGCACTCGCCGGTGTCGCCGGAGGCGACGAGGGCAGTGGAGCGCCAGACGGCGAGGACGGCCGAGCCCGCGGACCATGGCCGCGCTTGACCGCCGTCCATCCCTCCTCCTCCCCCGCTAGCTACCCCGACGACACCTGAGGGGCCGGCTGCCTAGCGTTGGTCGAGCATGACGCAGCTGAAGGACCCGGAGATTCCGACAGGGCGGGAGTCACCCGTCCAGCTGGCGCCACAGACAAACCGAAGGATCGCAGGAGCGCGATGAATTGGACCGCTGACATGTGATTGATGCTGGTGGACTGTAGTACAGGGGTTTGGGAATTTTCAGCATAATATACATTGGGATGATTAGCCTCATACTGTTCACGCGCCTCGCGGAAATAGATGTTCTTTGAGGTTTTCAGTGAGATAATTTCCTTTTCCTTCATGAAGACTGGACAATTTCGATCGAAAGTTGTGTGCGGTTCCTGCCCTGTGCCGGAACGGAAAGAATTCGGAACGAAGACTCTGACTTTGACAACGGCGTGGCCAATGTGGATATCAGACGGTAGATCAGGCCGGTTAAATGTCAATATAGTGCTGTTTGCAGGGATTTGGTCATCACCCCTCCTGGCCGTGATCCTGCGCGCTGCGGTGATCCCAAAGATTCCCAATTCTTCGGTGATTTCCTCCTCACTGACGTCACGAAGGTCATAGCAGTTTATGATGCCTTTTGATAATTTTTTGGTGTGGAGCGGTGTGGCCGTGACTGGCACGCTCACGTCTCGCTTTCCACCCTCGGTTCTCGCGGCGTAAACAAATTCAGTGGCCGCCATGGCTCGAGTCACATCGGTGCCGTTTGCAAACTCCATCTCGACCGCGCCATCTCTCAGCTTATCACAGCGGGTGATTTTTCCCAACTTGTCGCATCCGTTTCGGCGCTGAAACGGTGAAAGCGATGCTAGGTTCTTCACATCACTCCGGAAGACAAGAACGCGTGGGGCAGGTGGAACTGACTCCTCGCTGCGCCCTAAGTTCATCGCAGTCCGTCCCCCTCTCGGGGGCGAGTGCTTTCGGGGTTTGTAGTTGCCATGCACTTCAATTATTAATTTCGGCACCCGGGCTCCCTACCCACCTCGGAGACCAACTGGGGGACGGCCCAACACTCCCTCGGGAGGTGGTCACCGCCAGGGCTACCCCGGTGCTATACGAGGCGAACGACACCTCCCGCACGACCAGGTGTAACCGGGGAGACCCCTCCCCGTCCTGACCGTGGTTCAGCGCCGCCGCCCCTTGACCTCTTAAGCCGCTGCGCGCGGTTAGGCACCCCAAGCGGAGATCCGCAAAGAGCACCCAACCGGAACGCGAGCGACAAGCCGCTAGACCCGTGTGGGGCTCCACGGGCCCCCCACGCCCCGGATATCCTGGCCAAAGTGGAGTGTTGGGACGCGCCGTGACTGACCCGCACGACGCGCCCCTCAGCCACCAGGATCCGATCGACCCGGGGACGCGGGCGAGGGGGCACGGCGACCACGATAAAACGAGGGTGAGGAGTAGTGATAGGGCCGTATGAGGGAGTGCGGGTAATGTGGAGGGAGCGGGCGGGACAAGGAGCAGGAGCTCACGTACCGGCAGGGTCGCTACACCCTGAGAGGCACAGCTTGCGCTGTCCACCCGTTACCGGAGCTGGGACCCGAGGGGGCGCTAGTCCCCTACACCGGCGGAGGCCGGTGCCCCTGCGGGGTGTGTGAATCACATCACGATGTGATTCACAGGTGTGTGCATCCATCATGAGTGCGTCTACACAGAGCACCTTCTCTGCTTAAATCCGCTCGCGAGTGAAATCACACAGAATGGCGCTTCTGCGTATATCACGTCATGAGTGAATCTACACAGAACACCTCCACTCAAGTCCACTCATGAGTGTATATACACAGAATGGCGCTCCTGTGTAAATCCACTCAGATCTGAGTCGATTTACTCCTGAAGCCACACTTGTATAGATCTACTCACAAGCGGATTTACACAACAGTGCGTTTATGTGTAGATCAGCTCAGATCTGAGTCGATTTATACAGGAGTGGCATTCTGTGTAAATCCACTTCGTAGTGTAAATCCACTTCGTAGTGGGTTTAAGCAGACGAACTGTTCTGTGTAGATGCACTCATGAGTCTATTCACACGCGTCTTATCTTGTTTGGCAGCATTCTGGCGGCATTTCTGGTGACCAGTCAGCTAGAACTCCTAAGTTTGCCTTGAGATATTTCGTCAGGAAAAGTTTCTAGCGATTTGGAAACAAATATCCGCGTGCTGCATGGTCACTGTTACTCTGTTCAGTGTTCTGTTGCCCTGCCCTGTTCTTTGCGGCGTGTTGGGGCCGGGAGGTTGGGGGTGAACGCCGGCAAGCAGGGGAGCGGTTTGGAAGAGTTGATGTCTCAACCTTTGTAGTTATTTACAAGGCAAGCAGCAGTGCCCTCTTAAGTAACGGCAGGTCAGTGAATTGTTAAATGAAGAGGTTGGCTGGGTGGAAGGAAATTCCAGGGATCATCTACTGAATCACTGGTTCTGGTAAGCGCCGCACGATGGAGGAACATTCGTACATTAGCAGCCATCAGCACCCCATGGCCAGTGTTGTGGATTTGTAAGTGTGATTTGCTGCATGATTTGCACGCATGCCATGAAAGAGGCTTTTATGAGATGTAATATCAATTTGGGGTCAATTTTTTTATTGGTTTTAATGGCTGGTAGTGTGCAGGTACATACATTACTAGAAGTTTGGTCAACATTGGGCCTGTAGTCCAGTCTGTAAAGAATTCATCCCCTGGACTGAATGCCCATTGATAAGTATGCTGAAACTTGAGTGCACATGTGGTAAACTCATGCAAAGCTGACTTGTGCTGATTTGAAATTGTGGGAAAATGTTCTTGCAGCATTTTTGTAAGACATTACCTTTGCAACATTATTATTTCTCAGAAATGCCTCTTTATGCAACTGGTATTGGTGTGTACAGGAATTTTAAGTGCTCAGAAATATGTAGTCTAACCCTTTCAAACAGGTAGATTTCTCAGATAAAAGGTCATGCTGAGCACTGGGTGTGGTGTAGGCCATGACCTGTACCATCCAGTTGTGTAATTCCAGGGTAACAGCAAACATTGGTAAGACAATTTTAGTGCTCTGTGATGCTGCACAGTGTCTTTCCTGCCCTCTGGTGTCACATGACCTTAAGTCTGAATGGTGCCACCACCAGTTACAGGCCATGGCTGTCAGGGGCAAATAGTAAGGTTTTAGGCAACTTGAATCCATTCTATGGATACTATGTTGATCTGAACCCTTTGAATGGATGGATTTGGGGGATCAGAGCTTACAACAAGCAGTGCTTGCATGGGTTCAGACCCTTAATATCTGATTGCATGATTTCAGGCAATCCACAGAATTAGGTGGGGAAAGTTAGATGTATGGTAATGCTCATTGCCATCCCTCCTGCCCTCTAACTCAACTGCTCAACTGACCACCTGTGTGATCACTGCCACCTGCCACAGGCCATGCCTGTGGAGGGCAAATAGCAAGCAATGACTGGAACTTAACAGCCAGATAGTTGGATTAGAACACAAGTGCTCTAACCAATAGAGCCACAGGGACAAATGATATGACTAGGCTTGGATTGTAGCATGGACTGGAGGGCAGTTGCTCTAACCACCTGAGCTATCAGGATGGACAATACATGCTTACTTGTGAAGTTGTAGCAGCAGTGTCACTGCTAAGTGCTATGTTGTACTTTGTTGGCATAGCATGCACTTTTTTGCTCTCTGGCTGGTAGGCAGAAATGTGGACATTATCCAAAAGTTGTGATACAATGAAATATAAGTAGAATTAAACATGAAGGGAGTTACAATCATTGATATGGCTGGGTATTGGCTTACTCAAGCATTTGGTACTGATGGGATTCAATTGTGTTCCATCTATATTTTGTTTCCAATTATGTCATTGTGTTGGTTGCCTTTTTAATTAGAACCTCACTGGTATACCCATATGCATTTATATACCACCATTGATCTGCCACTGTCATCTGCAATCTGCAGCATTTTGGCAGTTCAGAAGGACCACAACCTTGACAAAATCATCAGCATGGGCTGTGCATATACACTGTATTATTGTTAATATGCTGGAGCTCCTCTACAGAAACAATTATGCTTCATGGTTCATCATGGCTCATTTAAAAAAATGTGATATCTAAATGTTGCCAATTGGGAAGTGTCAAATATGACCATTTTCTAAAAAAAGAGTATGTGGTTTTACAAAATAAGAGTATGCTTCCCAAGAATGGTCAAGCCCAGACCCCTCATTAAAACTTGAGGTATTTTATGTGATGCCTGTCTGTGCCATTGTGGCCACTATACATTTGACTGCTGATAACCAGTGCATATGTGGTCCATCACTGTTGTGCTCTTACCAGCCTGTAGAGTAACAGAAATAAACTATTCCCAGAATTTATCTATCTCAAAGAATTTGTGGAGGAGAGGCTTACAATGGTCGGTGGGTGTCTAGCAAACCATGAGCATAAGAATTTTCAGTCATGGATGGCTCGGCCAGTAAGATTGTCATGTCAGCTTTTGGTGTTGATTGGAGCTTACTGAGGCTCTGTTTATTTTCCAGAATGTGAGCATGCTATACATGTTTAGGGAAGGTATTATGATATAGGTGAACCGCAGAGGGCCAATAAAAAATTACATGCACCATGCCACTGTGACATCTGATGAAGTGGCACATGATGCGGAAGTCTGTTTTGTCCTTCCAATTATATGTTTTGTGTACAGGTCATGTAGTCAGTCAGTCAATGTTATCAGTCCACATGAACTGGGCAACATGTATGGATGGATCACTGGCAGACAATTTTCAGACACACATTTTGGATGTTAGCCAAGCTTTTAGAGCTTGCTGTGCTTTGCATGTAGCCATACAGTACCAGCAAGAAGTAATGCAACTGTAGTAACAGCTAAGAAGACCTGCAGATACTGAAAATGGCAGAAAAAAATGTATTCACTGGGACAGCATTTTATGGCAGCTGCAACAGTCTTTTAAGCATCTGCTGCATTTTTAGCAGCATTTCGTAAGATATAAAAAAATCTGGTAGCACTTTGTGGCAATCATCTATGAGCTCTAGCTCTGGTGCATGCAATGCTGGCGTCACACTAAAGGGGACACTCACTGACGGACCAGCCATCAGAAAATCACTGGTGGAAATGAAGAGCTGATCCCATGGATGCAGAATACTTTGGAGGCACTGACCGATACTCAGCTGGCTGATGACGACCAATACGACGATTTCGCTGCTTCACTGGCTCAGCGATTCGCGAACCAGCGTCCGCGGTACCCGTGTGCCGACGTCGGTGCATGCGTTCCTGTGTATCACCGAGACGTGGCATTTCTGTTCAGTTTCGGGATATTTGGCGAGGAGGCAAAGGAAGCACGGAACAGGCATGCTAGATCATATCGGCTGAGTCTCGCCAGAAACGATTCCGCAGTCCACAAAATGACTCGGACGCAGACTCGGACTCAATGCAGCGAGTTGTCGTCAACGGTGATCCTGCCATTGGCAGGATCGCTTGGCAACAATGTCATCAACGGATCCTGGGTACTGATCCGACCACACTGGAAACCCATCACTTGAGCAGGCATAGCGACAGGCTGACCTGTTCACCTGGGAGCACGGAGTCACTCGAGCAGGCACAGCGGCAGGCTGACCTGTTCACTTTGGAGTACGGAGCCACTCGAACAGGCACAGCGGCAGGCTGACCTGTTCACCTGGGAGCACGGAGTCACTCGAGCAGGCACAGCGGCAGGCTGACCTGTTCACTTTGGAGTACGGAGTCACTCGAACAGGCACAGCGGCAGGCTGGCCTGTTCACCTGGGGATACGGAGTCACTTGAGCAGGCACAGTGGCGGGCTGACCTGTTCACCTGGGGTTACGGAGTCACTCGAGCAGGCACAGCGGCAGGCTGACCTGTTCACCTGGGCGTACGGAGTCACCCGAGCAGGCACAGCGGCAGGCTGACCTGTTCACCTGGGAGCACGGAGTCACTCGAGCAGGCACAGCGGCAGGCTGACCTGTTCACCTGGGAGCACGGAGTCACTCGAGCAGGCACAGCGGCAGGCTGACCTGTTCACCTGGGAGTGCGGAGTGACTTGAGCAGGCACAGCGGCGGGCTGACTTGTTCACCTGGGAGCACGTAGTCACTCGACTTAGAATAAGCTGAATGCTGAATAAAGTCGGACTTCCCCACGATCCCCATTCCACCAATATGTTACGGGTTGCAAGAACATATGTACATACACATAAAGGCCAGGACACTTTGCATGCACAGTGACTTTTTATCGCTTATTTAATAGTTAGTGACCTTCCACTCTACGGTCCACAAAATAGACATATTTGGTGGGGGATGGGAAGGTCGGCGAGAAAATAGACAGATATGGTGGGGATGGGGAGGCGGGTGAGAAGATAGACAGGTATGGTGGGGGATGGGGAGGCGGGCAAGAAAATAGACAGGTGTGGTGGGGGATGAGGAGGCGGACGAGAAAATAGACAGCAGACAGGTGTGGTGGGGGATGGGGAGACGGGCGAGAAAATAAACAGGTGTGGTGGGGTATGAGGAGGCGAACGAGAAAATAGGTATGGTGAATGTTGGGGAGACGGGCGAGCTTCGATATCCGTAATTGCTGCCACCTCTGTAGGTAGGCATTGCTTACACCATGTTCTGCATTTTTGTAAGATATATTTGTGCGCATGGTTCATATCATATTGTAGCTAGGATTTGAATAAATACAGCAATGGATGAGCGCCATATGACCAGGTTAGTTGGCGCGCCCTAAAGCCAAAATAATCAATACAGCAATGACAGTTGTTCACAAGTTATGTTCTGATGTCAAGATCATTGGAGGTCGGCATGATCGTGATGACCTGAAAACTTTCGCTGTCCAGGTAAACCCTGACAATCAACCTCCTGGCTAACTGCTGAAAGTATACCACTACGATTTTTCACGATCAGTTCCGAATTCATTGCGGAGTATCAGGCAGTTCGACATGGGTGCAGTGATCGATCAGTTGAAGGCAGGGAACGCTTTAGGTCGGATAAAGTCATATAGTCAGGATATCATGAATATGTTCAAATCGATAATCTGGTAAATGATGGTTGAATGATATGATGATTGCCGGGTAAATTAGTAATCTAATAAGCCAGGATGACCAGCAGGGCTTGCTTCGGAGCGCCCTGCTGGTAAAATTTTGTACCGAAAACTTCGATGTGTGCCAAAAGGTCTGTTTCGTTCTTTCCGAACAGTCTGCATGGTCATGTCTTTCTTGGTTCAAGATCGCGCAAAGATCGTGTCTGATCAAATTAATGGGGGTGAGGTTAGGGACCATTTTATAACCCCCAACAGTCTTATATGGGTTCATCACAAGTTTAGGGATCTATAAAGGGTATGCGTGCTACAAAGGATGGCTACTTGCTAGGGAAATGTTTCAAATTGTGAGCAGATTTTGGGTTCGTGACTTGGTCACGTCATGTCACGTAACTCAACCATCTTAGGTGACCTGTGCATGTTTATGATAGTTTGTTGTTGGAAAATTTGCGATGACTAGATGCTGAGCATTGGTAATCATTGGCTGAGCTGTTGGAAGTCCTGTAGCAAGAGGACTGTCTAGAAAGCGCCGTGGCCGTCCGTCAGAGCATTCCATCACCGTGTGGGCGAGGTCCATCATTCGCCTGGTTAAAGCATCCGTTGCATTGAAAGTGAAGGAGCTTTGCACACGGCAAAAGTGGTCTCGCCGGGTCAGCAAGCGGTCTCGCCAGGGGCCGGGCCGCGTCGCCGTGCAGCCCCTTCCCCCGGGTGGTGCGGTGCCGTCCCGTCCTGTCGCCACGGCCCCTGCCGCCAGTGTTTACGTGGCGCGCGCGCTGTCCACTGTTTACCGGCGGCGTCCGGAGCCGGGCGCCGGCCGGCCACGTGCCGGGCGAGCCTCAGTGCCGGCCGGCGCCGCCTCACGCCCGCTCGCCGCCGCCCGCAGGTCCGCCATGGAACACGGCAGCGTCGAGGAATGCGTCGAGGAGTGGGGCACGCTCAGCGACGAGTACAAGTCGCTGGAGGTGGGTCGAGGCGGGCGGCGAGCGCAGACACTGGGCGAGGCTGCGTCCGGTCCTGGTGCATAGTGTACGACTAGCCGCGACCTTCCGTGTTCTCTCAGCCCCGGGAGTGGTGCCGTTTGTCGGCTGGTGACCCTCGGTTGGTGCGAGCCACGCGTGGCTCAAAAGGTTCCCATCCCCTCTTTGTGCTATCGCCGCGGCTGTTTCCCTGCTGGAGGTATTTGAAGATGGTGCTGTCACTGCATCATTGTGCATGGTTGTGCCGACCGTCCGTGTCGCTAATTTCTAACAGCTCCTTGCCGGTGATTCGTCACCATAACTGCAGGATTTATCTGGTGCCATATGCGCATAAATGACCTGTTTATTTGTTCATTTTTGGCGCAAAACACCAGTGGATTCTCTCGACGAGATTTCGCGATTGGTAATCAGTTGTATATGCTGCTTATTCAATACTTAGATTGGTTATGCCAGGTTAAAGTTTCCTGAGAATCGAACTTTTGCAGCTCTGCACGGACACATGTATGAGACCATGTTTCGTAACGGCACAATACCTCTACAGGCGTGTTCATTCAATTTTGAGCATTGTAGTCTAGAGTTTGGTGTCTTGAGCATGTGTTTATGATGTATGGCTCCGTTAGTGTAACAGTGTCGGCACGCCTCACGCGTCCTGCGACATCGTTCGCTGCCGTTCGCTGCCCGTGCCGGTCGTAGATCGCCGTGCAGTGTTCCTCAAAAACTGCCGCGGTTCTGAATTACAAAAGCTAGAGGCACGTTTTTGGTGTCAAAGCACGTCCAATGAATGCCCTATAGGCTACTGAAAACTTGGGCTCCTTTGCACGATATGCGGGCGAGGAATCATCAGAAAATATTACGGGCAGGAGGTCGCATCGGCCCCTGTCATGGTGGGGGTTAATCTTTTGATACACATTCTACGACCCGTCTTTAATTTTTAACGCTGATGTTTTGTCAGCCCTTCGATGGACTGAATTGAGGCAACCGTAGTCTTCCATTACACCGTTTGGTGATGGCCCTTTTAGAAGCAAGCCGCCTATAATCTCGTGCGTCATGGGTCCAGACTGCCTCGGTCTCGTTGTGCAGTTCTGCGGTCTGCCGGGCGTGGCCGCGTCGCTCCTCGTGAAGACGCCTCCCACCGGCCTCCTGCTGACCCCACTCGACCCCCGGGTCGCGGCGCCCACCGGGACAGGTGCCGCCGACACGATAAGATTGGCCGGGGTTGCTGGGACCTGAGACGCGCCGGCGCGGGCGAGCCTCCCCGTCTCGCCGCGAGCGGCGCCGGGCAAAGGGCGGGGCTCACAGAAGTCCGAAGGTCGGCTCCGGAAGGCACCAAACCCGCCCTCCAGACGCCGCAGTAGAGGCGTGGGGAGGTGCATGCGCCCAGTTTTTCGCTTATTGTTATTATTTTTTGGGTCGCTGTCTGGGTTTGCGTCTGGACGCAGTCTCTCGGATGGTTTTGTGCAGGCAGTGTACCTGCACCCTGACATGGACAGAACAAAAACTGGGTCTGGTCAATAAAATGTACAGAATGTCCCGTTTGAGTTGCCTTCGAACTGAGTTGCTGTCATCGGGGGGACGTTTAATGCATTATCCATTCATTGTCTCCCCGGTACATCCGGTTTCCCATCATGGGGTGGGGTAGGGCTGTGAGTCCAGCCGCCCCCTGGCTGTATAACTGCGCGGATGGAGCGTCCAGTTCCTGACACAGGGGTAGAGCTGTGAGTCCAGCCGTCCCCTGGCTGTATAACTGCGCGGGTGGAGCGTCCAGCTCCCGACACAGGGGTAGGGCTGTGAGTCCAGCCGTCCCCTGGCTGTATAACTGCGCGGGTGGAGCGTCCAGCTCCTGACACAGGGGGAGAGCTGTGAGTCCAGCCGTCCCCTGGCTTTATAGCTGCGCGGGTGGAGCGTCCAGCTCCTGACACAGTCACCCTTAGACAGCTGGCGGGCCCTGACCTCTCGAGTTTTGCTGTTGCCCATTCGCCACCGTGGGCGTAGGAACAGGGGGTGGGGGGTGGGGGGCAGGGGGGCCATGGGCCCCCCACTTATCAAGGTGGGGGGGGGGGGCAGCAGTGCTAACTGGTCCCCCCCCCACACTTTTCAGATCGAAGTTGCTGCTTTTGCGCCACATTAAACATGCGTGCCGATTTACCTAGCTCTCCATCCATCTTCCTCAAGATGCATCACCTTTTTCGTTCTCCTGTTGGCAATCGGTTAATGTCGCAGCCGCAGACCGACGCCGCGCGGCCAATGGAGACTGCAACGCCGGGCGTCGAGGCTGTCGCTATGACTTGCGAGCGCTCATGTTCAAAACCATATCACATATTTTTACCGGTGGTCAGTTTTGACTGATTCTTGGACATTCTAAGACAAAGATGGATTGGTTAGGAGTCTATGTGAGGATCATTGGACCACCTGCGGCGATTAGGGATGTTGTGGCATCAATGCAGGTTCCTGTGCTGGTCCGGAGTGAACTGCGCGGGTCAGAAGGCCTCCCGTGTCAGGGAGGGGAACAATGTGGTATGAGATATGATTCTAATGGCCTCCGGATCGACCAGGAGAACCAGCCCCGTGTCGCCAGAATAACAGCCAGAAGACAATTCGCGAGGGGCCGGTATGGCCCTTCAGCCTTTGGCCGGAACCGGTAATGTGCCGCAGGTGTTCTGCTCAAGAGGCCCCTTGCCCGGAAGGAAATAAGGGGTCTCATTATTGTTGAGTAGAGTGGGTCGAGATGAATTAAAACAACGAACAAGGCCATCCCACGTTTGCCTGAGAACGCTCATTTTTTGTAGAACGGATTTCTAAAAAAGAAATTATCAAAAGGTTTGAACATGCCCGCCCGCAACCTCGAGAGCAAGGACAACGATGGCCTGGGTCGTAGCTTCCTTAAAACCGAACGGCGTCGGCCACTGCAAGTGCCACCAGACTTGCACTGTTACGGGAAGACAGAGTAACACGGCGGGCGCCGTTTTGCTGTTTTGTGGACAGCTTAATTGTCACAGAAACACGAAAAATTGATATTCTTCTTGTACTCTTCCAGTTCCACCACCACCAGCACCACTTCGCTGTGCGTTAAAGGCCAATCCGTTCTTATCATCAGTTTAAGAATAGCACACGTGAAATGTGCGCCCAGACTGCCTTCGAAATGTACGATTTGATGTCCTGAAGCGTTGAAATGTACATTTTTCCGAAGTGTCATCATTTTCGTCCACCTGTTGGCCAGGGCTCAATATTAGCTATTGAACGAACGCCGCGCGGCCTACGGAGGCTGCAACGCCTGGCGTGGAGGTTTTTGTTACTAAGATTTACGGGGGTGCATGCTCAAAATGACGTCACGTAATTTGTATTAATAGCCGATTTAAATATTCAGAGGTAATTATTTCAAAGGTGCCATCATTTTTGTCCACCGGTGGGCCACGGGGGAAAATAGCCACCGGGCGAACGTGCCGAGGACTTGGGAGACTGCAACGCCTCGCGTGGAGGTTTTTGTTCCAAAGATTTGCGAGCGCGCATGTTAAACAACCACCTTACATAAATTGTCTCACTTATCGATTCTGACTGGATGTTAAATCTTTCCAGACAAATATGGCTTGGCTATGTTAATACACATTGTTGACAACTCGATCTACAATCAAATTTTCAGCTTTAAATTTCGATCAACATATCCATCCACGCTCTACCTTCACGATGTACTTAATGTCTGAAGAACCCAGATAAAAATTCTCGGAATTTCGCCTCCTCAGGAAAGACAATGTTGAAATGGACGAATCGCCTTGGAAAGCTGGGTAGCCTTATTTGCCGAGTAACATAGATGAGTCGAGTGGGCAAGATTGTGCAGTAATGAGAAACAGCTCTAGGTGCATATCTAGCATAGCAGCCATGACATTTGAACAAAGACCGGTAACTACCTCCATCCCTACCCCCTCCTCCCCCCCCCCCCGGTCATCAGGCTTGCTTTCCAAAAATACCAGAAAAAGTTCCTGAAGTACGGCCTGAGCTTGCCCCCCCCCCCCCCCACACACATTTTGAAACGTTCCTACGCCTATGCTCGCCACACATATCGCATCATATCATATCATACATTTCGGAAACATCCGGTTAACGCAGCGACGCCTCTTCAAAATGTTGCAAAGAGGGCCCCAGGGTAGACCGTCGGACCGCCTCACATCGCTCAGCAGGAGGTCTTGATCAGACCAATGCAGCAGTCCCAGAGACCACTGCCAGCGACTCAAAACCGGCAGAGACGCGGGACGTCTCTGACATGGCCACTTATCATCGGCATCTCGGCGATCAGTGACCGCGTTAGAGGTGTGCGGGTGTATTGGATCTCCTGTCAGCGCCAGTTGGCTCCCGGAATAGAACTGCCTCGCGGCTGGCCGGTCCAAGCGTTCGGACTGACTGCACTGCTACGAGGGTGACGTAACATGGGCCGGGACCATGCACTGCGGGCACCTGTCCTGCATTTGTCCGTGTGCACCTTATCTGCCAGCTTACGGACGGGGCTCAGCCGCGCTCTCTGCCGTCCTCGTTTCAGGCCGTGCACAAGGAGTACCTGGAGCGGCTGCAGGACGTCAGCCAGCTGCAGGCCAAGTGCGTCAAGAGCATCAGCCACCAGCGCTACCGGCTGGGCATCATCAACAAGTCCGCTAAGGGGTAAGCCGGTCGACGGACGCCCCTTGCTCATTGGACGGCGAGCGCGTCCGTACAGCGCGCTGTGATGGGTAAGCCAGTCGGTGAACGCCTCCTACTCAGTGGACGGCGAGCGCGTCTGTACAGCGTGCTGTAACGATTGTGCGCTCGCTCGTAGGCAGGCTCGCGTGCGGACGCAGGCCGCGTGCGACATGCGCGCTCTGTGTGACTGGTCCTGCGCCCGTGGCTGGGACGTAGGACCTGCGTGGTGGCGGCGCAGCGGCCCGTACGCGGCGGCTGCTGCACTGCGGCTGGCGCGTAGCGAGGCGCGCTGGTGGGATGGCTCCTCGCTGAGCGCGCGGTGTCGCAGCGCTGGGGCGTCCCTCCTCGCAGCGCTGGGGCGTCGCATCACCGAGGTCGTCTCTGTGGGCTCGTATTGGAGGCGCGTGTCGTGCACTGCTCGGCCGTCACACCTTGCCGGACCGCCGCGCTCTGCTCGGCCCTCACACTGTGCCGGACCGCCGTGCACTGCTCGGCCGTCACCTTGCCGGACCGCCGTGCACTGCTCGGCCGTCACACTGCGCCGGACCGCCGTGCACTGCTCGGCCGTCACACTGCGCCGGACCGCCGTGCACTGCTCGGCCGTCACACTGTGCTGGACCGCCAGCGCAGGCCGAGCATGGGCCAGCCGCCAGCTGTGACCTGACCGGACGCTGCCGTGCCACAGGCTTCCCCGCGATGACCCGGAAGTGCAGATCAAGGTCAGCGACCTGGAGAAGGATATCCTGCGGCGGAAGGCGCAGCTCTACCAGATGGAGAACTATCTGCCGCAGGAGAACGACGTCTACCTGAAGATCATTCTAGGCTGCGTTAACGTCTCCATATTGAATAAGAATGACCGGTGAGATCACGCTTTCGATTCGATCCGGCAGGCTATGTGGTGCCTGTTATGCAATGATATATTGATCACTGGCCTCTGTTTTAGCCATCACCGTGTGTAATACATCAGTTTTGTGTAGTCAAGCGTGTGGTGAGGGTTTGAACCAACTGACGGTGCGGGCATGGTTACATGTGTCCTTGGTGTCCTCGATGCCCACAGCTTTGGGTTCATTGGCTCTTTCCCTCTGTAGTTCCAGCGCGTGGTATCCCGGAGTCTTTCTCTCATTACGCGCTGGCATGGCCGTGAGGAAATGGTTCCCACGAGAGCTGGGTGCTTGGGGCGACCGGCTCGTTCCGGGCTCTGGACACATCGGCTGAGGATTTAGCAGCACGCTCTCGCCGCCCAATGGTCCTCTCGCACACAGGCTCGGCTGTGGCGGAGCAAAGCGTCGCGCTCTGGACTTCTGCCTTCGGGGGACCTGTTTGATGGCGTGCCCGGATTCTCGGAATGCCACGTTGGCCGTCTCAGTTTCCAAGCATCAGTTTTAGTTGAGACTTTTTGGAGATCCTTGTTTGGGTTATTTGCGGTTAGCAACCCTCTGTTCTTGGGATGATGGTGTCACTGCCATCGTGCACTAATGACAGCATTCTAAACGTTTTCTCTCCGCGCTATGCGGGAGGTGTTTTGTCTGATTTCGTGGCGCGGCGCCTGCTGTGATTAGCACATGTTTGCTTGTACATTCAGGTACAGTGACCGGCGCGACCCTTCGTTTTGTCCGAAGCTCTGCGCTGCTGCACAAAAGGATGGCCTGGCCGGTTGGCCTCTTTTCCCAATGTCATCGAGCAAGCTCCCATGAGGCGTTGCGTAATATTATTACAACAAATATATGAGACTAGGAGGCCAGAGCGTAACGCATGCCAGGCGGTGAGGAAATCTTCGTAACCCGCATCTTCATGCGCACTGGCTCAGAATCTGGGGTCTTTTTATACTCGTTCCAATAATGCGCTCTAAAATCGGGCTCCACATGTCACATGCCATCTGTCCACCAACTCTCTCTCGTACTCGACGGACAGCCAACAGGGCGCTGTCATCTTCACCGGCCTTACGCTCTTTGTTCGGTGGTGATGAGTAGCGATGAGGTAACCCATCCATTTGCTTCGGGCGCCGCGTACGGACACCTTTGGCGGCCAGTGTCGCATGTGGGGCATCTTGTCACCAGCTGGCTCAGCCTCGATCGCCGTCATTCTGCCAGGGGAGCGAGGCTTGCGGGCCGCACCGCGTCTGCGACGGCTCCTGAGCCAGCATGTCCGTCTCCAGGCGGGTGCACAGCCGTCCTCGCGTCCGTGAGGGTCAGCACTGATCTGGTGTTCTCTCCTCCTGCAGGTTCAAGTACAAGGACGAATACGAAAAGTTTAAGCTAGTGATGAACGCCATCTCTATGGCTATTGCCCTGACGTGTCTGTTTTGGCAAAATCGGTGAGTCTGAGCTGTTGTAGATGCGGTGATTTGCTCTGCTTGTTGGAGAGCCAGGCATCACGGTGGAGGTACCATGCGTTTGAACGTTGACGCAGTTCTTGCCAACTGGATGGCGGGCTGTTATTCGTGTTGTGCCGATCATTGACGAAATCACCAGTAGTGTGCCCGATTACTTTCCATGCCCAGTATTCCCGACCCGCCGCTTTCCGCAGTGTTGTCACGCTGATTTGATGTGTGCCACTGCTGAGAGGGCCTTACATAGTTTGCTTGCCTGCTCGTAACAAGTCCTCGAAATACAGACATTGTGTGTTGTTCGCCAGACATTGAGCTTGCCAAAATAGCCGAGTTTAGTTGAGTTTTGGGTGGGGCTTCACACCAGTGGTGTGCAGGTACCGCGAGAGGATTAAAAAACATTCACATTCGTACGCCTTTTGATGCGCCGTGCGCCCTGGGCGTGTGAAGCGCGCGCTGCCGCTCGTCCCGTGCTGTGAACGTCATCCGGAGATGGTGGCGCCATCTGGTCTTAAGGCGGGGCACGTGACCTGCTGAACTCAGCGTCTCTGTGTGCTGTGACATCATCTGCAGGGCGCTCTTTGCCAGAATGTTTTATGTTGTGCTGGATAATATTTTACGAAGCGCTATGACTTTGTATATGAATCAGCGACCCAGCCCTACCCTGCCGCGTGCGTTTGACTTGCGTACAGATTTGCAGCCCATAGGCACAGAGGGTGACGTTTTGGCGACGCAGGCGTGGAGGAATGGCGCGGCCCCGTCTTGTGACATTTATATGGTTGTTGTTACGTTGTCTCATTTCCGTTTGGTGTTCATGCTGACCTCACGACCTTGACGGCGCCGGCCCGCCGGCCGCAGGATCCTGGACCTGGTGTTCATGTTCATGCTGGTGTGGTACTACTGCACACTCACCATCCGCGAGTCGATCCTGCGGGTGAACGGCTCGCGCATCAAGGGCTGGTACCGGGCCCACCACTTCATCTCCTGCGTGCTGTCCGCCATCCTGCTGGTCTGGCCGGTCGGCCCCGTCTACTACACGTTCCGCTACCAGTTCAACCTGTTCAACGTCTACATATGTGAGTGTGCAGCGGGTGGACGAGAGGAGAGACCGTGCGATTGTGGGTTTGGGTGTGCCTTTTGTTGTAGTTGGCGACTGATGAACCCGGCCAGTGGAAGTCAGAGCTCTTTCCATGACTGTTTTTAAGTGCTGAACATGTTTTGGTTGGGTTCGGTACTGGAATATTGTGACATGCATGTTCGGAAGGCAAGGCCATCGTTATAACGGCAGCACACTTGTTTTGACTTCGATCTTGGAACATGCTGATGATAGTCTTCGGAGTTCAGGAGTTAAGTAGTTGCGGAGCTCTAATTTCGAAAGCTTTCAATGCGTGTTCAAGTGATGTTCTTTTGGCCATGACGTCTATAAGCGTGGCGTATCCATAACAGTTGGCAATTGGTTCGCTGGTTGGTGCTATGCTAGATCAACGAGAAAGGTCACGAACTTTTCCATGTAACTTCATCCATTTGTTGGCTCGTTCGTTCTTTCCGAAAATTAATATTTTCGTCGCTATTTTCATTATCCTTTTTGCCAGCCATTCTAGCTTTACACTGGTACACTATTCTGATGCTGTTTAGAAGGTTCGAGTTTTATGATGTTCTTAATACGAACGGTCAGTCCAGCCTGTGTGCTGGGTGTGCTGTTTGTCCGGAGCTGTGAGACGACACAACCGCTGGGGGTTTGAGTTGCCCCTGCCTGGCTGCAGTCTGTTATTCAGCTATGAGATGGGGGGGGGGGGGACGGTTCCCGTCCCGAAACGTCGAGAAGAAAGTAGGTCGAATTCGGGGAGGAAGCGGTTTTTGGTGTGTTTTAGACGCATGTTTACCCATTTTCCCTCGCTCAGCCCAGTTTATCCTCCACCTTTTTTGGCAATGTATGACCCTGGCGTCGTGTTGAACACCGTATGTGTCTGACTCTATGTGATGCATTGGAACCCACAACTGATCAACCCTTCTACTGTGTTATGATTCCGGCGCCAAGTGGTCGCGTCGAGGCACCTCGTACCAGCCTATACTCAGCAACTGCAGTTTGTGTCCTGTCTGGTCCCGCGCACCTGGGTAGGAGCGGCGTTGTATGCCTCTCACACCTGGACTTCAGCTGCAGTGCAGCGGCTGCAGTTGTGTGAGCGTGGCTGCTGGTACGGCACGGATGGCATGCTGTGACGCCTCACGCCGTGTCTCAACCTCTGCCCACTACTTGCAGAGCGCTACTGCTTGTATCGACACCGGCAGCGTGTTGTAATGCCGCACGCTCCACGTTGCAGCTTCGGTGCAATACCTGCAGTTTATGTACCAGCGCGGCTGCCTGTACCGGCTAAAGGCGCTGGGCGAGCGCCGCGACATGGACATCACGATAGAGGGCTTTCACTCGTGGATGTGGAAGGGACTCACGTTCCTGCTGCCGTTCCTCTACATCGGCTACGCGTTCGAGTTCTACAACGCGTTCACCCTGCATCAGCTCAGCTCACACCCGGAGGCCACGTGGCAGGTCAGGGCGGGCCGAGGTGGAGGTGCCGCGCCCACATGCCGTCTCCTGCTGACGTTGCTGGGGTCGTTTTGTGGTGACGGGGTGCTGGTTAGCTAGTCCCCTGCTGGGAGGGTTTGACTCGTCGTACCAACCGAATCGAGTTTTAGGTTGAGGGGCTGTGGGGTAATGCTGCCGCATTGCTTTCATGAGGGCGTCCACATGTGACATGGTGTTCCTGGAGGCCCATGTTTGGCTTTAGGGCTTTCATCAGCTCGTCATTGCTTGCGGACCGGCTTAAACTTCCAACGCGACCGGTGACCGGGACCGAAGCCGTCGCCGCGTGCCGCGCGGCGTCCACCTGGCTCCTGCTGTAGCGGCATGTTGTGTGTTCAGCACGTAACGGTCCAGAGTCGTGCGCAACGTCTCCATCTGACGGCCGCGCCGCTATCGCAGGTATTGGCGCTGAGCACCCTCTTCCTGGTGCTGGCCATCGGCAACACCATCACCACGTCGCTGGTGATCCGGCAGAAGCTCAAGGAGGACTGGAAGCTCAAGTACCGCTTCACGCGGCTCGACAAGCACGTGTGGTCGCACAAGAGCCGGAGCCGGTGCGCCTCTGCTCGCCAGGCGGACGACACGCCTGGCACGGGTGAGCAAGGTCAGGCGACGCACCGACGCCGGCCCGGGCTGGATGTACTGGTTCTTAGGTGTCAGCAGTTCTTTTTAAAAAAAAATATATCTCGAAGGGTGACACTCGTTAATGTATAACACTTGGCTCGCTACACTGCTCTGCTCAGGCTTCACTGTTTGTCCCAACGTACAATGAAGCTGGTGACGAGTCATGCCAGTTATGGACAGGTCCAGAGTCGAGATCCCTGTTGTGTTGCCTTCGCGAGTCGCTCGCGCTGGTCGTCACCGACAGAGGTGGCACTGTCGCCTGCTGGTACGGGCGAGCACGCTGCCAACCGACCGGCGTGTGGCGGGTGCGGGTTGATGACCGTGACCATGGCCCGTCGCCAGAGGAACTGGGCAGCGGAGACTCAGCCGAGTCGCTCGCCAGCAGTCACTCGGAGGAGGGCGGCGGCGGCGAGCCCTCCAAGAAGGACGACTAGCGCTGGCTGCGGCACGCGTCCCCCTCCCCCCACCCCCACCCCGCCACCGCTCCCTCTCGGTGTGTCTCTGTATGGCGTTCAAAACGCCGTCTGTTCGTGACTCTTTCGAGCCGGTGCGACATAGTCATTGTTACGTATTAATGGTGTTCGCAGAAGCACAGACTCTGTAGCTGGGTACTTCGTCAACTGCGCCTGGAATCAGTAGAAGAAAATAAATTATTTGCGCAGTGTAGTCTGATCAGAGTACGGAGAATGGAGCTGCTGTTGATCACCCTGTACTATGATTACGGCTCAGGCGATTGTAGTTCCGACTGGGGCAGATACTATGCAGCATTCAGTGGGAGAAGGTAGAAAATGTTGATTTCAGCTGCGATGGTTTGGGTTCGAGACTCGCTAGGCGCCGCCAACTGTGTGTTTGTTTTCTGAAATGAAATCGGCACGAGAGATGGCGTCGATTCTGACAGATGCACCCATCTACCCGTACATACCGCTTGCAATGCCGAAACGTTTATGCTATGCTTCGTGTTTAACGTAGCCTAACATTGCACGAGCATGAACCCTCACGCCAATACAGATCAGTACAGGATGTCCGCGGCCTGTCATCGCTTGTCCAGCATCTGCATGCCTGATGTGCAAGCCATTTGGGCGCGGCGGCCAGCATGCGTAGCACCATTCAGAGAGTCCCCGCAAACACGGCAGCTGAGAGAAAACTCACGGCGTGCGGCCGGTGACGCGCTGCGTCGGAGGAGTCTCTCTGCGAGTGAGGGGCGCCGACAGACTGTACAACCGAACTTCTTCAACGCAGAGAGCTGGCTTCTTCCGCGCAGCGGAGAGCTGGCACAGGCGGATCTGCTTTGCGAACGAACCTACTGCTCTAAACGTGTGACAACGGAGCGGCTTCCCGGTGTGGTCAAGGCTGCAAGTAATTGGATATGTCCCATAGATGTGCGCTTCTCGCCAGATTCCGCTGTGTCCACAGTGGGACGTCTGCAGCCTGGTACGGAATAGAAAACCGTGTAGTTTTGTATTCGGTGTGGGGGAGAAGCTCCAGCCCCTTCACTTTGAGAGCAAAGTGGGTCAAATCCGGTGAAAACCCCTTTTTACGGATTTGGAGGCATGGCAAACCGTTTTCCCTGCTTAAAGGGAATGTTCCACATTTCAAGATATTAAAGCAAGCATCGGATATGATAAAATGCTCACCGATAGCTATTAGTGTCATAAGTGGAAAAGATGGCTCTAGACAACAAAAGTTCACTATTCATCAGCTGGTTTGTGCAAGCCATGTGAGCGGGCGATGGGCGCGTGCAGGATTTAGCAATGGGGAAACTCAATATTTTACACTGAAAACCCCATGCTAGTGTGATCAGGTGAGCAAAAGTGTTTGGATGGTGTGTTGTGCGTAGGACACTAACACAAGTCACTTCGTGCAAATATATTGGCCTTCGCGATGAAGTGGCGAGTCCCTCGCCTATCGAAAGCGCTCGCTGCGGCTGGGGAGGCAGCGGGATAAGCCGAAGCTGGCCTGTGGCATCTTGGAGAAGAACATGTCGGATAATAGGAACTCTTCACGAACGTTAAGGGCTTTAAATGCTGAAATGATAATTGGTAATGATTGATTAAATGATAATTAAGTGAGCCGTTGCAGGCGGGAGACAACGTTAACAAATGGTTGCGGGCAAAGCTGACGTGGCTGACATGATCAATATTACTTGTAATGAAATCACCGCATCAAATACGGTGCCATCTACTGATGCCGGAGGCGGGGTCGACGCGTTTGCATGGACGCCGCCTATAGTAGTAGTGGCGCCGCCTACAGGATAGAAGTTTCCCATGTTTTAGTCCACTTCTGTTCTTGCCTACCTCGTTTGTTATTGTCAGTTGTTTTATTTACATCATCACCAACCTGAACCAGCGTTGGTGTTTTAACTAGCAAAACAAAAAAAAATGAAACAAGGACGTGGCTAAGAAATGATTGAGTTTGTGCTCTGATAGAAAATGGGCAAAAGTAAAGCAACAGTGGCATCAGGGAGAGTTTGGAGAGCGGAATATGTCTTTGAAGAGTATCCGAACCCTTTGCATGGATGGATTTCTTGGATCAGAGCTCACGCTGAGCAGTGCTTGTGTCAGCCTGACCCGTACCATCCGATCGCACAAATCCACGTCAAAGGCAGAATTTGCGGATGCTTACACAACGTGCCACAATGCCCAGTACGGTCCGTCCTGCCCTGAGCCCTCTGACGTGATCTGACCTTTATTGCAGCTGCTGCCACCGGCCGCATGCCGTATCTGTCAAGGACAAATAGCGAGCGCCTAAAGCGGATTCAACTTGCCCTGCTACATATCGACCAAACAGCCCACGTCGGGTTGGCATGCGTGTTTTCCAACAGTTCCACATTTTTTATTGTTTCTGGGCACTGATAAGCCGTGAAAATGATCTTCAGCTGTAATTGCCTCGAAAACAGCTGTGCAGCCTATAGCCATAATAACATCCTTGGAACGATGACATACTGGATAGCAAATTATGGGCTGCGGTCGCCTGGCGTATCATGTCATTACAAGTGCAAGTACTTTTCGATGTGCTCCAACCTTGTCCATCTCTATAGCTACTAACTCCCTCTCTTGCATGAACTAGTAACTACTTATCAACTCGTGACGTCATGCAATCACAGTAAACAGTACCGGAGTGTGCGCCCGCGTGCGCTGAGGTGATGTACGTGCCGTCGAGAAGAAAGTGGCAGTAACATGACAGAAAAACATCCGCAGGTGAGTCTTTACGTTAAAATCGCGTAGAATTTACAGTTCGTGTTTCTTGGTGCCTGAGGCCGCTCCATAGTCAACAGAAGCCGTTGCGAAATAACTCGTTGGGCCGCGCGATGTGCGATTTCTGTGTGAGGGCTGCCCGACAAGGTCCTGGCGTGGCGCGCGGCGGGGGCAGAGGGGAGGGGTATTAGATTGGGTGGCACGACTGTGCCGTGTCAGGAACGAGCCGGGGGGGGGGGGGGCGATCAGCTGACGCGGTTACGCGGTTGACGAGTGGTGGTACTGGGGAGGGGAGTAACATTCGCACTTAGAATATGTTGTCTAGAAAAGTGATTCATTGAGCAGTAGTCATTTGCGCATTCTGTAAAACTATCCTCATACGAGGGTGATGTAAAATGGCTTCCGTGCAGGACACTCGAGTTTGGTAGCTGCGTGGGTTTCGTGTGGAAACTCGAATGACTTTGAATGATCGTGAATATGGTGCATATCTGCCTATTTTTCGTCGCCGTAGTTTGCATTTCTTGTTTTTGCTACTGAACCAAAGGCATATGTTCCTCGATGGTCCGAGTTACGCGGACACAGGTGCAGCCGCGTATCTTAAGCGTTTTCTTGCTTGACTGCAATCCGACACCATCGATCACTCTTATTTCCGGACAAAGGGTCGACGGAGGACACCATAAATAGCAACAGCGGCGGTGCCAGGGACGTGGCGCTGCACTGTTTCTGGGAGCGTTCATGTCCGAAAGTTCAGTCGGCTGAAAAACATGAGTGACACAACTTGCAAAGGATGGTGGCGTTGTGAGCGCTCACGCGGGCGTAAAAACGGGATGACAGCTGCGTCTGGACGCTGGAAAAAGAGCTCACATCGGTCACACGGTAACGGGATGAAAACGCTCCGAATCCCCACTTTATGAGGTTCACTCGTCTCCGCGCGACCTGACACCGCCCCTGCGCACGGTATGTCGTACGCTGCCGAGGGGGAAGAGTCGCCGGGGCTGTCCAGCCGTCCAGCATGCGGGACTGGTGTAGCAAGTCGAGGGCCTTTTGGCATTTTTTGGAGCTGCAGAGACTACGGAGCGTTTCTACACTTAAGACTGTCGTCGGTTGGTGGCCTGTTTCATTACGCTGGAGGGCGCAATCAGCCAAAGCTGTTTCACGACGATTGAGTGATCGTAAGAGGGAGTGTTCCACATTTGAATGGGGTTTTGAACTGAATTAGCCATCTCGAAGGTCATTCGGAGCAGATCACAGCCCTTGCTCTTCTGAAGACCTGAAACATTTTAGTTTCTGAGATACACGCCCTCGAAGATGTGCAGATTTTTCGGGGAGACTATTTCAGTGACACCCAGGCATCCATGACATAATGACGTCGTTCAACGTGTGCCATTCCATGTCCATGCAGCGATTAAGACCAACACAAATGTAATTATCGATTCGCTCATATCAGACTTTCGCGAACACGATTTCCAGATACAACGGCCGTCAGTTGGTGCCCAATTCAGTGTTGTGCAAGGTACGATGTTGCAATAAAAAGTGACGCAGTGAGGAGCATGTTAACTAAATAGAGAAATTGTGTCGCCTAGAACGGCTTTTTTCCCTTAAGAGTACACAATAAGTTATAAGTGATCGTATTTCATCATATCTGACGCTTCTTTAAATGTTAAACGCTCCCTTCGTAATGTCAACACGTTGCACATTAGGTCAAGGTTATAAGCAAAATATGAACGCAAAGGGGCGCAAACTTTCGTCGTGACGACCGCCGAGATGGGGGCGCTACTGTCGCCTCGTTGACAGCCCCGATATCCGCCTGTGCCGCCCGCGCAGGTTGTGGGCGCTCCCTGCGGTCAGCACGGCTCCTACGTCTTCCACAAAGCCTTCAGCTTCGTCAGCGGCGGCCGGCGGCGCGTGCTGGCGCTGGGCGAATTCTTCTTCGTGCGGCCGTGGCCGGACCAAGAGACGCTGGCCATCTGCGAACTACAGCTGCTCTACCAGGACGGCAGTGACGGCCAGCCGCTGGCCTACGTCCGCCTGTACTTCCTGCCAGAGGACACGCCAGAGGGCCGGCTGGAGAGCCACGGCGAGGTGAGCCCCCCCCCCCCCCCCGCCCCTGTAACCGGGCGCCGCCGCCCGGCCCGGCCCGGCCCGAGCCGCGCTCGCAGCCCGTGCAATGGAAACGGCCGCCTCCGACCTTGAGGCTGGCGTCGGCTCGACCGATTCATGTCCGCCAGGCGCTCTGGTGTGCATGTCCTTCGCAGAGCACGGTCGTTTGGCGGCCGGCCTTCGGGTCG